TATTCATCTACAGCCTTTCGATTCTGTTGACGACAGACATACAGCTTCCTTCACCATGATGGAAGTCACATCATCTGATGGTCATGGACCCCCTCCCCTCCCCTTCCAAAGGCCCACCTGAGCCACCTACCACCCATTACTGGAAGAACTTGTTCGTCTCGTCTAACAAGCCGCCAAATTGCAACATGTGTGGTCACTCACTCGATCCTGTCGTAGACAAGACCGCGAAGAACACTTGGGAGAAGCGATGCATGCACTGCGTCCAAGACACAATTCGACCTTCCCCTTGTCAATGCTATGACTGCACAAAGAGCGGCTCATCCAAGCGTAAGAGTCTCGTTGCAACGCCTGACCAACCTCCACCAGCGGAGCTTCTCGACCAAGGTGCGACTACGAAGAAGATGAGCTCGCTTAGAAGCGTTCGCAGCGGCTTACGAGCCAGTCGTCAAGATCTGGTGCAGACGTTTCGAAGCACCAGTGTTGCAGATCTCGGAGCGATGGCCGCTCAGAGTCTACGCAGATCGAAGTCTGGCAAAGTGTCAAAGGCAGCACTGGACATATCTAGCCCTCCAGGCTCTTCACGGGATAACGCCAGTTCCCTGAAGGACTCGGGCAAGCCGCCACCCACGACTACCAGTCAACGTACCGTCAAGCCCAAGACCGTTTCTTTTGGACCACCCAAGAAGATGTAAGTCACCTCCAGGTTCGAAGAGTTTCTTAGCTAATCCATAGCTCTCTCAGTCTTCCAATGTCTGAGTCCGACTCCGAGTCGAGTATTGACCCAGGTCCTGGTCCTACTATACGGACTGGTCGCTGGGCCTCAGAGCAGAATCCAATCATCGCACGCAAGCTCCTCAAGAAGATGCGCCGCTCCAGGAGTGACCGCAACCCCGATGCTATGTTCTTGAGCGGAGCAACTTTGCCTGTGCTTCCGGACGTCACCTTCACGACGCTCCAGGACTTTCGGGCCGCAGTTTTACATGCTCTCACGCTCAGGCTTAACAACAACCAAATTTCTACGGCCGGGTTCACTACGAAGGCTTATGCCTGGTGTTTTCCAAAGTCGTAAGTGTCTTCAATGTCCAGAATTGTCATTATCTGTGTCACTAACACTCTATAGTCTGCAGCACGTGAACCAATGGCGCCTCCTCTTTGAGGAACCCATTGCTACCGACGATGTCATGCTTAATCAAATCTTCGATCTTGAGCAAGTGACTGCCGATACCCCCGCACCTCCACCAAACTCCAAGATGTTCTACGTACGGTCTTTCCAGCTGTCAGTTTTGCAGTTACGTGAGGTAATCACCTGCATGCTGTTTGACGGTTACGACATGAATCCTTGGATCTTCGCTTGGTTAGAGAAGCTCACCGGCTTGTCCGATGTCACTCGTATCACCCTGAGATACTGTGGCCAGACAGAAGGGTCGCCATGGACCCGACACCATGGTGACGTCTACAAGGGCGCGTCATTGAGGTCATTTTTTTGGCCAATTCATTCGTACTGTGGGGTTCGTCTGTGAAGATGTCCTCACCCAAGCCACTGTTCACACCTTCACCCTCGCAAACGCCATGGGCATGGCTGTGGACGACGACCTCATGAACTTCTACGAGCAGCTCCTTGTTGCACTTTTCGGCGATTGTCTACTTAACACTGAGCTTGGCGGGAAGGACGTGATCTTCATCACCGAAGAGGATCAAGAAGCTTTTGGTCAGTTGCGAAGTCACACGATTGAGTCATTCAACACCACCAAGCCCTGCTCCGCACACATGATGCAGGCAATTGAGACGTATGCTCAGAATGTTCGAGCATATGTTGACTCGCATCCAACTACGCGCAAGGGCCGCAGATCAGCACGTAGGTTCAACGATGAGACTGAAGCAATGCTCATCCGGCAAGGCACGCCTCGAACCCTATCTATCGATGGATCTGCTGTGACAGTCACGCTAGGATCTGACCTCGGCGAAGATCATGAGCAAGACGAGGGTACCTTCTGGGAAGCGGGAGGACGCAGTGCAGATGTAGTCACAAACATCTACAGCCGCTTTTTGGAATGGGAGGCAGGCCCAACGGCCTCCTACAATCCGATCGGTTTCAAATCTTTGTGCGAGAACCACCTCTGGCCTATGGCCGATGTGTTTGCGTGGTATGTCAAGCACAAAGAGGACTACAGCAAGGCTGGAGAGTTCCTTGCGTCCTACATCAATGCCGTTAGACCCTGGATCATCATCTGCTACGGCAGCCTGCCGACCTTTGCAGCCCAACGTAACTTCGAGTCTTTCACCCAGAATCAGTACGACAACAAGATCTCGAATGACAACTATCATTGGCGCCAGAACAACAGTAGCTGGGCACAGGACGTCCTCGCCGTGCCTCAGGTCCTGAGCTTCAACGCAGGCCAGGGCCCGACAACCGACAAAGAGTTCTTGCTCATTCCTTGCTATCATCCCGGCTTTACTGGGCACTCCGGGGTCCTGAAAGAGAAGCTCACCCGCTTACTCGTATTGACTCACGCTCTGGCCTGGGCGGCAACGCATCACGCGATTGTCATTGATCGGGAGAACCCCACTAGGGCTCGCAGGGATAAGATCAATATGCTTCACAGCATGTTGCTCACGAAGATATCGACAACTCATCCGTTCGGACGCGCACTGGCCGATGCCAAGGCCGCGTATAAAGATGTGACCAAGGCCCACAACGAATGTTCTCTTCAGCGCGCAGGAAACACCGCTCTACGTAAGCCTCGTACAGGCCTTTTGCCAGGTAAGACCGTGAAAAAACCAGCCAAGTCGCCAGTGCGGTCAGGTGAGACCGTTGCAGAGATCGGTGAGGGCTTTAAGGTTACTCTGGAGGAGACTGGCTGGATTCCGGGTGCCACTGGTATTGATGCTAAGCGCCACCGCCTCAACTGGACAGAGAGTGATGGCCAAGAGCGAACCCTACACCACATTATGCTCCCAGCCGGTGTCGCTCCTACCGATCCAAACACGCCCCGGTTCCTGTATTAGTAAGTCATTAAGTACAATATCATTGTATGGTCGAACTGACGTTCTCCCGTAGTGTGCCTGGAGGAATTGACATCCGCGATAATGCCGACACGTCTTTGGGTGCGAGGAAGCCCATTCTCGGTCGGAGCGGCAGAACTGAGACGCTTCCACTCGCCAGTATCGCGCTGTCAATGTGCGAGAGGCCAGAAGCATCAACTTTCTTCGAACATTGGGAAGAGGTCACAAGATTATCGTCCATGGACGTTATGCAGTCCGGTTTCGTTGGCAGCAGAAGTGGGTCATCTGCGACCAGAGCAGCGCGAGGCGGTCGACTTCCAAAGTCTTTCTTCGACAAGTCCCCCAGCAAAAGAGGCTTTCCGTTCAACAAGAGCGTCAACCTTGTCAACACTACCGGTAAACCTTACCTTGTCTACACCGAACTACTTCGACAGAAGTTCACGCCAGTCAATCATGGTGATTTACTGTGGCTCATCGACCGATTTCTGATGGAACACTTTCCGAAGGGTGGCGCGCTTGATCCCGTTCCCGGATCAGTCCACGCAGACTCTATGTTTCTGCTTGTCACCGACTTCTGTGCTCAGCCCAAGTACATGCATCATCCTCATCTCCGCACATTCTTGGCTATGGCCAGCATGTCCGAGATGGGCTTGGATGAGCGTAACATCCCGATCAACGCTTTCCGCATGGCTGTGTCTGTGATTCGCGGTACTTTCACAGAGAGTGCGTCGCGCGCAGTCCTCAAGATCAACAATGAGAGACTCGAGTTCAAGCGACAGATTATGACCATCAAGTCGAAGCGGATGAGGATCTTTCACGATGTCGATGAAGACGACCTTGACTATAGTGTCGAGCTGATCGCTGATGAGGCGTTTTCAGCGGAGGTGGGTGACTCAGCGGAGGAAGGCGACAATGACGACGAGATGTTATTTGACCTGAGTAGTAGCGGCAAGGGCAAGGGTAAGGGCCAAATGGTTGAGGACGATGACGCCTACGATGCCAACGACTCCTCCGAGATCCTATTTTAGGGTTGAGCACACCACTGTCCCACTCTTTCGTTACGAGCCACATCTCGAAGTGTCAAGTTCATCGCTGGATCCGTATAACTGTGAGTACAACTCTCGGCCGCTCGTCACTGCTCCACTTACATGACGGCCAGGCAAGACGTTTCTGATTACTCCAGTGTTCGAGAGTGCCTGGTGTGGTACAGACTGACAGTCCACGATTTCTGGCATCCGGGTATTGGCATTGGCTTCAGTAGACAGGTTAGCGAATGTGCAATGGATTCATTGACGGAACTTCATCACTTTCTTTTGACTGCTCCGGCTATGATCGGCCTGCGTATGCAGCAATGCAACGAGCTGTGGGCGTGAATGAACCAAAGGTGCGCGCAGCTGAGGCATTGCAATCTAGGCTCAGAATCAGATCTCTTTACTTCCACTGCCGTATGTAGTCTCAGTCCGTAAAAATATTGCGCGAATTCCTGGGGGGTCACGACTTACCTGAGGGGGCACTCGCACCCTCGGAACTTTCCCTTATTTCTGCATGCGGTTAGCCATCCACACACTTTGTCCTCCCTTCAGACATCTTGAAATTTTGTTGATCTTTCCTGACGCCGATTTGTGTACAGTGCTAACTGCACTATGCTATTCCTCTGCTACGCAAGGATGTATAAGGCTAGAATAAATAGAACCCTACTCTGCTATTTAAGTCTCTAGTGTTAGACATTGCATTGCAAGATCAGGAAACCCCTGTCTTAGTTAGCCTAGGATTTATTATTGTGGGCTTAGTTTGACTAAGCGACCTAACTAACCCCACCTTAGGGCTAAAGGTCTTACCTTGATGCGTAGACCTGTCACATATGGAATATTTATTAGACAGTATATATATTTAAATAATGCCTCCTTTCTTATCAAGCAAACACCATCTGCTTATATAAGCAAAATCTTCGATGGGTAAGTTTGTCACCACTGTTGGTCCAGCGACCTGTCCTAACATCCAATCAGTCTAGTGGTCATGATTTCCGCTTGTCATCGCAAGATAACGAGCGCGGGAGACCGGGGTTCGATTCCCCGTCGGAGAGTCATTGTTTTTCGATGTGGTGGTACCCCCCATCTAATCCATCTACCAAATCATCTTTTTGCATTCAAGACTATTGGAAGTAGCACTCCAAATTAACACACTATAGATGCGAAGCCTTTGTTGCATCAACTTTTAATTTTAATTTTCTGACGTGGTGACAAGGTATGAGTATCCTCTGTTACATGTTTTGCTCTTGATATAGATAGCATTTACAGTAATTACATATCGCTCAAATAGAATCACTGCCGTAAGAACGCCTGCACTTTACTGTGCAGTACAAGACTTAAGCCTACGCTCGTATCGCAGGAGGATCAGACACAACGGCAGAATTATCGAGCCCCTACAGATGTTACCTGCACCCAAATGATGCATAGATCGATTACGACTGGCCCCAGTTCTTCAGGATGTCCACGTTGTATCAAACTTTCGCTGCGACGTGAGAGACGTGCACTGTGTTGTCGATCTGGCAGTCGAACGAAGTTCGCGACCTCTCAACCTCGGCACCTCACTTCTCTCCTCACCACCTTTGCAATGCCAATACCGCGTTCACGAAACGACTGTGCGGTCTTCCCCAAACTGACTATACGACACGTATCCAACCATGGTTCAAGAAAACCATTCCCCCCCAACGACAGGTGCCAGTATCATTGCGCGGACACTTAGAAATTTAGGTGTAAGCGTCATCTTTGGCATTGTCGGAGTGCCCGTGTCAGACATTGCTGAGCAGGCTATCGATATCGGCATACGGTTCATTGGTTTCCGGAACGAGCAAGCAGCTAGCTATGCAGCGACGGCGTACGGGTACCTGACGGGCAGACCGGGGGTTTGTTTGGTCGTGGGTGGACCTGGAGTCTTGCACGCTATTGCTGGCGTAAGTATACCCGGCAGATAGTTTGTACTATGTCTTCTGTCTTGTTAAGCTCATTTCATTTTAGCCCCTAGACGACAGTATTGACTAAACTTACTCAGGTTGGTAACGCGGGCGGAAATAACTTTCCCCTGCTATTGCTCGGCGGGTCTATCGAAACACATCTTGTCACGAAGGGTGCTTTCCAAGAGATGGACTCTATCGTTCTTCTTTCTCCACAAACCAAGATCTCGTCGAGGCCTTTGAACATTGAGATGTTGCCCTCCATGATCGCCAATGCCTATCGCACTGCATTCTATGGTCGACCAGGCTCTGCCTTCATAGATTTGCCGGCAGACCTTATCAACGGCCCAATCAACCCGGAAGACATTGGAGATGTGCCCGATATTCTCAAAGTTGCAAGTCCACCGAAAGCAGCTGCTGATGTGGAGAAGCTATCGCAGGTGGCATCACTGCTCAGGACCGCGCAGGCTCCCCTGGTTGTGGTAGGAAAAGGCGCGGCGTATGCTCGTGCCGAGAATGTGATTTGCAAGTTCATCGATCAGACTCATATACCGTTTCTCCCATCTCCCATGGGCAAGGGTGTTGTTGCAGACTCGCATCCGCAGAACGTATCTTCGGCAAGAAGTGCAGCGATGAAGATGGCTGACGTGGTTCTGATCTTGGGCGCAAGATTGAACTGGATAATGCACTACGGTGAAGCACCGAAATGGAATACCAAAGCGAGCTTCATCCAGGTCGACATATCACCAGAAGAACTGGGACGGAATGCGGCCGACGCTGAGCTATCACTGTTAGGGGACGTGAGCGTCATTATCGCGCAGCTAATTCGGGCCCTCAAAGGCTGGTCCCACTCACCCGACCCGAAATTCTCCCAGCAGCTCACTCAAGCAAAACAAAAGAATGAGCACGTCTCATCGTTAGCAGCACAGGACGACTCGATCCCACTGACATACGCTCACACCTTCTCCATCATCAAGACTGCCCTAGATACCCTCTCACCACCCTCGTCAGGCGGCATCTGCTACGTTGCCGAAGGCGCAAACACCATGGACATCAGCCGTTCGATCTTTCATCTCGAGCATCCACGCTTGCGCCTCGATGCCGGCACATTTGCAACAATGGGCGTCGGACTTCCGTACGCAATCGCGGCTTGGGAAGCATACAATGCCCCCCATGCACAAGCTTCATCTGGGCCGGCGCCCCACAAGAAGATTGTTGCAATCGAAGGCGACTCTGCGTTTGGATTCTCAGGGATGGAAGTTGAGACTATGGCACGGTTTGGCATGGACGTGCTCATTTTTGTGGTCAACAACAGTGGAATTTATTTTGGCGATTCCAACTCGGTTGAAGACTTCGAGGCGAAGAGAGAGAGAACTGCAAGAGGTGAGCCGGGCTTGAGAAGTTGGGCGCTGGGATTCGAGACGAAGTATGAGAAACTCGCAGAGGCATGTGGTGGCGTCGGGTATTTGGTACGATCGCCGGAAGAGTTGAGGAAGGCGACTGTCCAAGGCTTTAAGGCGAAGGTGCCGGTCATTGTGAATGTGATCATTCAAAGTGGAAAGGTGGAGAAACCAGTAGGTGCATATATGTTACTGTCCAGGTCCAACTCACTGACCGAAGCAGAGCTTTGGATGGCAAGTAACACCCAAAAAGAAAGAGAAGGTGTCGCGACTGTGAAGTGAAATTCGGAGCTGGAACGCAGTGAACGTCTTCTTGAAAGCACCTAACTTGAAGTTATCCTGAAAGGCGTCACAGCTTGTTGCAGGCGCTCTGAACAGTCACTCGCAGTCTCAGAGAAGAGAGAGAGAGAGAGAGAGAGAGCTAATCTTTGGTGATGTGCATATACCGACTGTTCGGTCATCAAAAGCTCTTAGAGCGCTATTGTCAAAGTGTGTCCATCCACAGGAAGGTTACGCGTTGGATTAGTGGCTGTGTCATTGGCACATGTCACTGTGCAAACACCTTCGTCGAACAATGATGCTTGGTATCAGTCCTGTTCAAAGAAGCCGAGTCCTTTGAATTGACACACGATATCGTTGTTTGACAATAGTGGCTCCTTGGCTGAACTCGCAGCGCGCGAAATGCTCACAATACATCGTGACATCGGGACTGATAGAAGTGAGTAGCAACATTTGAAACGTGGTTCAATCAGCAACTTGCCACATCACTCGAGTGAGAAAACACACATTATAGAATGCGAGTGGAAAGGCGACGCTCAACTCGCGTCTGTACGGCTCGTTTCGCGCCGCATAACTACGGTCGCTGTCCATCGCAACCGATCGCACAGGACAAGTACCTCTACAGATCGTATGGCATAAAAACGCTCCTCTTCAACCCTGGGCAAAACTATAGCGGATGCACTCACCCTCCTTCTTTGATTAAGACACTGCATTTTTTAGATTGTAAATGGTAGAATGAACCTTGACCTCAAAACTGCCTTGGATCTTAGCTACCAACGTATGCTTTTGATCTTATAAGCTTGCAGTCTACAGTCGACTCGATGAGCAACAAGAAGGCCAAAACTTGGCCAAGACGTACCGCGAGCTGGTCGTCCACCCCTGCCTCGTTGAACACTGCTGGCAGGAAGTGGGATCAATCGGTGGATTTTACCGTTATGAAGAGATTTGCGATCACACTCTTAGTGAGTAGCTCACTGGTGCCGAAGGATGGGAAGAGCGCTTCGACCTTCGAACTACTCAGGATATGGGCCACGGTCTATATACGAGACAGGACTGGAACGAGGGCGATATTCTCGAGGCATACCTAAAGGAGCTGGTGCCTCACCGTACTGTAAATACTGACTATTGCTACAAAGTTCTCATTGGCCCAGAATCCTCAAAAAGAGGCGCTCGGGTTGCTTATATCGGTACAGAGGAATGTAGGGAATACGCGAGATTCTGCAACCATAGCTGCGAGAACAACGCAAATATCGTCGAGGCGAGGGTTGGAAAGGAAAGGGTACTTGTGCTCAAGGCCGAGAGAAGCACTGCTGCGGGTGAGCAGATCACAACCGACTAAGACAGCGACTATTTTCAGTGCAGAACGTGTCTGTGCGGGTCAGCGAGATGTAAGTACTCAATGCAGTAAGACCAATAACTGTCAGTAGTTTACAATATTGGACAGAGAAGACAAGTTGGCCGAAGGACAGGGCAATTCGGCATGATTCTGTGTTAAAACCGGACGACGAGATAGAGATGGTACAAGGCGTGTCCTTGCACATCATGCGGCGTCGATGCAGTATTTGTAGATGTGTTTGCCTTGCAATTCACATGTGTAATGAGATTCAATGATGTTTCGGAGTCGGTAGAATAAATGCTCGGTGATGCAGGAGCGTCGTGTGCTCGATTAGGCAGGAACGATGACCAAATCGAAGGGACAGGGATCCTGGCTGCGGGCTGAGCCTCCGCGCGTCACTCACCGGGAACAGCTGCACCTCCTAAGACGTACATTTGTCTGTCTCCTTGAGCGCATTTCGTCTTTATTGCGCGTATCTCCTTATCGACTGCATTTCTCGCGTTTCGAACATTTTATCGCGCGTCATCGAAGACTCGCCCCAGCTTCTCCGTTGCGTCGCGTCCACTGTTTCAGTAGCGCCAAGAGCCGTTGCCTCCAGCTCGACAAGGCTGCAGACGGCAAGCAGCCAGCTGTCAAATAAGCACGCATCCAATCCATCCTTCACCCTCTACAGTCCTTATCGTCTCTATGCATCATGCGGTATAACACGAGTCTGCTGCTGCCGGCGTTACTGGCACTCGTGCCCTCTATTGCCGCCAAGAGCGATGCGCCGCTCGTCGAGACGACCCCGTTTAAGAGCGAGCTCGTAAACATCATCTACTTCGACGATTCGACGGTCGCATTACTACAAGAGCTTGAGAGCGGAGACATATGGAGATCTGAAGATGCTGGGAAAGGTTGGAAGCGAGAGAAAGAATTGAACGGAGCTGGCATTCTCAAGAATCCGTACGACAACCAGGTTGCCACGGTCTTGGGTGAGTCAAAACACTGGATCACATATGATCAGGGAAAGACTTGGAACTCCTTCAGGACTGAGGGGCCACCTTCGCCGGACGCACCTCTCGCTTGGCATGCGACCGACAGCAAGAAGATCCTCATCAACGAGATGGAGAACT